AGGCCTACCACTGTTGTGTCGTCGGCAAACTTAATGATGGGGTTGGAGTCGTGCCTGGCCATGCAGTCATGGGTGAACAGGTCGTACAGGAGGGGACTGAGCACGCACCCCTGAGGGGCCCCCGTGTTGAGGATCAGCATGGCAGATGTGTTGTTACCTACCCTTACCACCTGGGGACGGCCGTCAGGAAGTCCAGGATCCAGTTGCAGAGGGAGGTGTTTAGTCCCAGGGTCCTTAGCTTAGTGGTGAGCTTTGAGGGCACTATGGTGTTGAACGCTGAGCTGTAGTCAATGAATACTATTCTCACGTAGGTGTTCCTCTTGTCCAGGTGGGAAAGGGCAGTGTGGAGTGCAATAGAGATTGCATCATCAGTGGATCTGTTGGGGCGGTATGCAAATTGGAGTGGGTCTAGGGTTTCTGGGATAATGGTGTTGATGTGAGCCATGACCAGCCATGACCAGCCTTTCAAAGCACTTCATGGCTACAGACGTGAGTGCTACGGGTCGGTAGTCATTTAGGCAGGTTATCTTAGTGTTCTTGGGCACAGGGACTATGGTGGTCTGCTTGAAACATGTTGGTATTACAGACTCAGTCAGGGACATGGTGAAAATGTCAGTGAAGACACTTGCCAGTTGGTCAGCGCATGCTCGGAGTACACGTCCTGGTAATCCGTCTGGCCCTGCGGTCTTGTGAATGTTGACCTGCTTAAAAGTCTTACTCACATCGGATACAGAGAGCTTGATCATATAGTCATCCGGAACAGCTGATGCTCTCATACATGCTTCAGTGTTACTTGCCTCGAAGCGAACATAGAAGTGATTTAGCTCATCTGGTAGACTTGTGCCACTGGGCAGCTCGCAGCTGTGCTTCCCTTTGTAGTCTGTAATAGTTTGCAAGTCCTGCCACATCCGACAAGCATCAGAGCCGGTGTAATACGATTCAATCTTAGTCCTGTATTGACTCTTAGCCTGTTTGATGGTTCGTCGGAGGGCATAGCGGGATTTCTTATAAGCGTCCGGGTTAGAGTCCCGCTCCTTGAAAGCGGCAGCTCTACCCTTTAGCTCAGTGCGGATGTTGCCTGTAATCCATGGCTTCTGGTTGGGGTATGTACGTACGCTCACTGTGGGGACGACGTCGTCGATGCAGTTATTGATGAAGCCAGTGACTGATGTGGTGTACTCCTCAATGCTATCGGAAGAATCCCGGAACATATTCCAGTCTGTGCTAGCAAAACAGTTCTGTAGCTTAGCATCTGTGTCATCTGACCACTTCCTTATTAACCGAGTCACTGGTGCTTCCTGCTTTAGTTTTTGCAACGGGTGTGGCTGAAATAGCCGAATCCACTAATTTGAAGGGGTGTCCACATACTTATGTACAGTACCAGTCAAAAGTTTGGAAACACCTACTCATTCAAGGGTTTTTCTTTATTTTTACTATTTTCTACATTGTAGAATAATAGTGAAGACACAAGAACTATGAAATAACACATATGGAATCATGTAGTAACCAAAAAAGTGTTAAACAAATCAAAATATATTTTATATTTGAGATTCTTCAAAGTAGACAAACTTTTCCTTGATGACAGCTTTGCACACTCTTGGCATTCTCTCAACCAGTTTCATGAGGTAGTCACCTGGAATGCATTTCAATTAACAGGTGTGCCTTGTTAAAAGTTAATTTGTGGAATTTCTTTACTTCTTAATGCGTTTGAGCCAATCAGTTGTGTTGTGACAAGGTAGGGGTGGTATACAGAAGATAGCCCTATTTGGTAAAAGACCAAGTCCATATTATGGCAAGAACAGCTCAAATAAGCAAAGAGAAACCACAGTCCATCATTACTTTAAGACATTAAGGTCAGTCAATCCGGACAATTTCAATAACTTTGAACATTTCTTCAAGTGCAGTCGCAAAAACCAACAAGTGCTATGATGAAACTGGCTCTTATGAGGACCGCCACAGGAAAGGAAGACCAAGAGTTACCTCTGCTGCAGAGGATAAGTTCATTAGAGTTACCAGCCTCAGAAATTGCAGCCCAAATAAATGCTTCACAGAGTTCAAGTAACAGACACATCTCAACATCATGGTCGAATTGCTACAAAGAACCACTACTAAAAGGACACAAATAATAAGAAGAGACTTGCTTGGGCCAAGAAACACAAGCAATGGACATTAGACCGGTGGAAATCTATCCTTTGGTCTGATGAGTCCAAATTTTAGATTTTTGGTTCCAACCGCAGTGTCTTTGTGAGACACAGAGTAGGTGAACGGATGATCTCCGCATGTGTGGTTACCACCGTGAAGCATGGAGGAGGAGGTGTGATGGTGCTTTGCTGGTGACACTGTCTGTGATTTATTTAGAATTCAAGGCACACTTAACCAGCATGGCTACCACAACATTCTGCAGCGATACGCCATCCCATCTGGTTTGAGCTTAGTTGGACTATCATTTGTTTTTCAACAGGACATTGGCCCAAAACACACATCCAGGCTGTGTAAGGGCTGTTTGACCAAGAAGGAGCGTGATGGAATGCTGCATCAGATTACCCTCTCCACAATCACCCAACCTCAACCCAACTGAGATGGTTTGGGATGAGTTGGACCGCAGAGTGAAGGAAAAGCAGCCAACAAGTGCTCAGCATGTGTGGGAACTCCTTCCAGACTGTTTGAAAAGCATTCCTCATGAAGCTGGTTGAGTGTGCAAAGCTGTCATCAAGGCAAAGGGTGGCTACTTTGAATAAACTCTAATCTAAAGTATATTTTGATTTGTTTAAAACTTTTTTTGTTACTACATGATTCCATATGTGTTATTTCATAGTTTTGATGTCTTCACTATTATTCTACAATGTAGAAAATAGTAAAAATTAAGAAAAACCCTGGAATGAGTAGGTGTGTCCAAACTTTCGACTGGTACTGTATATATAGTGTATGTCCTTGTCCTCTCCTTGGTTGATTTAGGGGGCATCTTATAGACACATTTAAAATAAATAATTAAAGTCAGTAATAACCATAGTAAGTCACATAAATAGACATCAAAATCACTCAATCATCCTAACATAATACAACATGTAATGGTATTATTTAGCAAATAAGTGTTCAATTTCAACTTACCCATGATCATATATGTAATTTGTTTGTCTTTTCAGGTCTTAAGGTAAGTAAAAATGTATTAACTATTACATTTTGTAATTACCACCACATTCTGTCCTTAACATCACAGTTCATTATGTGGTGGTAATGACGTGTGGTGGGAATTACATTTTTACAGTATTTGGTCATAAATAGAAGGGATTCTAGCATGCTAACTCCAGTTGAACAGCTATCATACAATGTATCCTAAATACACATAATTAAAACATAATTTCAAAAATCTAACATAATTTGATGAAATTATAGCCTATTTGGTAATGACGTACAATAAAATATGATCTTCTCAAATCATATTTACCTTTATTTTTCTATCATTTCCTGGCATCAAAATTGGAATTCCCCTCCATGACATCCATGTGCTCCACTGTCACTATTCATATCCATGATAACCAAGTACACAAACTTTTGAAAAAAGGTTTTTATCATATAATTTTATTGTGGTGGTGGTAATAAAACAATACTTAGAGACTGTATTTTGTGTAAAAAAAAAAGTATAAAATGGCTTATGCACATCTAATATGTATATAGTTTCCATTTATTTAACTCTTTTTTTAAACAGGTGCATTAAATATTTTGTAATGATCAAGACTTTTGTAAGTGTAATACATAGAAGAATGTCAAAAGTCTAGGTGTGAGACAGGACAAAAACAGTGCAAAACAGTGAAATCCAGACATGAAACGCTTGACCAAGGAGAGTGATGGAGCTCAGTACAGTTTTTTAATTACCGAAAAATGTATTATCATCTCCAAAACCTGGTTATCATTACCGTAATGCACTAATATTTAGGAAATATTAGGAAAAATAAAACTCAGACTTTAGTAATTTTGGCTTAATCTGATAGTAAGCCTTTTGTTCTTTAACCAGATATGTGTACATAAAAACAACATGTAATTATGACAAAAAACTAGATTCTGAAAATGTTGTTCGCTGTAATGAGAAATTACAAAATACATTTTATAATGTAATTTTAAATATATTTGTTTTCCGTGTTGTTTAACATGAGCCTTTTCATTAGTTGAGCAATGTCAAAACATATTAGCAATTTATTTGTTCAGTACTTTTTTGGACTGAGAATTTTTGTGTTGGTAGTTCTGGAAATTGTGGTAAAATACATAATATCTGATCAATAAACATAACAATAATTATGAAATAGATAAATACAGATTGTAATCTTAGTGATCCAAGAGGAATTATGGTGGAAAATGTGTTTCTTTTTGTTCCTCTTTGTTTTTGTCAAGTGCCAGTTTTGTGAGAATCACATTTTATTTCCATTTGAACAAACTAATAGTCAAATCACCTGCATTTCTCATTGATTAACCTTAACTTCTCCCACTGTGATTTCTGTCAAGGCTGATGACCTATAAACCAGTGCATACCCCTCCTCTCTCTCCTCAGTGTGTGTGTGTGTGTGTGTGTGTGTGTGTGTGTGTGTGTGTGTGTGTGTGTGTGTGTGTGTGTGTGTGTGTGTGTGTGTGTGTGTGTGTGTGTCTTCCAACAATCTCCAGGTGCGGAGTAGCAAAATAATACAAATGGAAAACAAGCTAATCGATGAGCTTTCTCCTATCAGGTGGGGCAAAGTCTATCCTTCCAACCGACGTCAACTCCAGGGACAAGGAACAGCATGGAACCGCCAGCTGATACTGGATACAGTCACAGATAACACCATCTTCGTGACTGTGCTACTGGGATACTGTTACTGGGATACACCATAATCCATAACAATATTGATGATCTTTAACTTTGTATCTGACCAGAAAAAGCTAATTGTATCATCTCTATAGGCAGTGCTGCTGAACACAACAACATATCCATGTATTCCATCACACATTTCCAGGTTCATAGCATAGCTTAATTATCTGGCCTCACACCCCAACACACATTGCACGCACACACGCAGACCCAGAGAGACCCGTACGTTCACACACACAAACACACACACACACAGTATTCCTTTAAATGTTAAGTCTACTCCTTTCCACTCACCCTGATGGGGAAGTAGTCTCTGAAGTAAGTCCACATGGTCCAGTTCCTCACCCAAGAGGACCTCCTGCCACCTGAGAAGACCGAGGTGAGATCTCCAGTCAGACTATAACCCACATCCTGAATAATGTAACCCACATCCTGAATAATTTACATCAACAGTAACAGGGTGCCAATTACCCAATTTCCCAGCACAGCTCCCTATGGTCACAGACACAAAACACTGCGTCTGAAATGACACCCGTTTCCTATATAGGGCACTACGTTTAACTACAATAGGGCAGTAATAGCCTTGAGGTTAAGCCAGTAACCAAAAGGTTTGAAGTTCAAATCCCAAGGCTGACATGGAAAAACTCTCTTAACCTGACCAGTGTTGAGAGGGTTTGAGTGACTGTGGTACTTGCCTTGTTTGGGGGTGTTCCAGTCGAAGATGAGCCAGGCAGTGTACATGGCAGCGATCACCCAGAGATCTGTGCAGAACATGTAGATTAACAGCACAGTGCCAGCGGCGCCTATGGGGTAGGATAGGATAGGGGAGAGAGCAGAGGAACAGGCATTCAGCACCTGCACCACACTTCATTAAAGGTCCAATGCAGCCGTTTTTATCTCAATATCAAATCATTTATGAGTAACATTCAAGTACTTTACTAGCTAGGTTTCCATCCAATTGGCGAAAGATAGTCATGTGAATATTCTAAAATCTGCATAAAGTAAATATGTGCATTTTCCCGCTTTTGTCAAATTAACATCAGATTTTATGTTTTGTAGCAGGTTAGGATAATTTACGTAGCAGGTTAGGATAATTAGGTTAGGAAAAGGGTTACGGTAAGCTAAAATGCACAAAACAAATCTAGTTTTGACGTTAATTTGACAAAAGCTTGATCCCTTCTAGCCATGACCTCTGTAGCCTAATAAACTAAATGGTTTCCCGAGTCGTAGTGGGAGGAGCACACACCATGTCATCGCGTGACTCCAAGTTTACTTCGATATGATGGTTATTATATCAATATTTGCGAATAAAGGTGTTTCCACCATCATTTCTCACATCATTAATTTTAATGACACAAAAAGATCCCACCTTGTCTAGCGTATTTTGTTTTGTCAACATTTGGAAAGTTTACTGACAAAGTTGCGGTTCCCATGAGGCACGCCATTACATTTAAGCACCTTCAGAATGTATTTACACCCCTTGACTTTTTCCACATTTTGTTGTGTTACAGCCTGAATTTAAACTTCATTACATTTACGGAATGGAGCTAAACACAGGCAAAATCCTAGAGTAAAACCTGGTTCAGTCTGCTTTCCACCAGACACTGGGAGATGAATTCACCTTTCAGCAGGACAATAACCTAAAACAGAAGGCCAAATCTACACTTGAGTTGCTTACCAAGAAGACAAGGAATGTTCCTGAGTGGCCAAGTTAGTTTTGACTGAAATCTACTTTAAAATCTATGGCAAGAACTGAAAATGGTTGTCTAGCAATGATCAACAAGCAATTTCACAGAGCTTGAAGAATAAATAAAAAAATAACAGGCAAATGTTACACAATCCAGGTGTGGAAAACTCTTCAGCCGTGTTCACATTGGCAGTTTGAAGTGACTCACATCCTATTTATATGCAAAAGAGCTTTCTTATCTGTTATTTTTCCTGCAGTCTGAACAGCCAAAAAGCACATGGGATGGGATATTTCAATGGCGGCAGGTAGCTTAGTGGTTAAGAGCGTTGTACCAGTAACCGAAAGGTCGCTGGTTCTTATCCCCGAGCCGACTAGGTGAAAAATCTGTCGATGTGCCCTTGAGCAAGGCACTTAACCCTAATTGCTCCTGTAAGTCGCTCTGGATAAGAGCGTCTGCTAAATGACCTATTTATTTTAAGCCACATTTCAAACCACCTTCGTAGGCCCTCAAGTGGTTTTTAGACTGTTGACAGTTTGACAAGAACGTGGTAGCTAACTAGCTTGTTAATTGTTTACAAACAAATTAGTGAACGTGCTAGAAAGCTAAAAAGCTACCTAGCTAGGACTTATCCTTTGAGGCTTTAAAAGTGTTCTTACACTAGGATTTTGAACATTCAAAGCAATTGGGAAACGTCCATGGCAGGCATTGTTGTCACCTTCGCTTGCTACACAACTTCTGAGTGATAGGAAGCATGAGCAACACTACCAATCAGCCTACACCCCTGCACACACACCCGTCGTTACTATGACAACTAGCATAGCTGTGTCAGCAAATGACTGCTGTCTGAACCCACACAAATAAATCTGATTTGGTAACTTGTAACTTGCTGTTTGGACAGTCGGTAGTCCAAAACGGATTTGAAAAACAAAACTGATTTGAGCATTAAGGCCTGCAGTGTGAACAAGGCTTTAGATACTTATCCAAAAAGACTCACAGCTGTAATCGCTGCCAAAGGTTTATTCTACAAAGTATTGACTCAGGGGTGTGAATACTTATTTAATTAGATATTTTTGTATTTCATTTTCAATGAATTTGCCAAAATTTCTAAAAACATGTTTTCAGTTTGTCATTATGGGGTATGGTGTGTAGATGGGTGAGATTTTTTACATATTTAATGCATTTTGAATTCAGGCTGTAACACAACAAAATATGGAATAAATCAAAGGGCCACTATATCCTTCAGCCACTACTAGTTAGAGCCACACTGAGAGACAATCGCACACTCACCCATGGCAAGGAAGCTGATGACCCACTGCAGAACTGAGATGACCTGCAGGTGTTTCTCCATCTTGGATCGGAGGGCAGGCCAAGGAGCGGAGGGTAGATTCTGCAGGACGGAGAGGATGCTGCAGCCGGTGCCTAAAGGAGATTGACAGGGTCATAAATGAGTCATACTGTAAAGTACATAAGAACCACATCAATGGATTAAGTCACAGTCTCAAGGGAGTCAGCAAGAAGACTAAAGAGATACAAATAATGAAACTGTCATCATCCTTTTCCCAGGCTCTCAAAGTCTGTCAAATACACAGAAACACACATGAACAAGGGAAATTAGATTACAGACTTGAGACACTGAACAAAGGCTCATCCCTTACAAAGCTCTGTGTTGAAACAGACCACAAGCAATAAACACCACATATCACATCAAATTCCCTCCGCCACTGCAGTCGCTATAGAGACAAAGCCACTTACCACCATGGTCTGATCACTACCCATGAAATAGGGCCAGAGCAGAGCCACAGTCCAGACAGCTACATGTAGAAGTGACCGTGACAGACGAGCCCACAGCATGAGAGAGAGCCACTGAGGGGACTGTGCTAAATCTACTCAAGCTCAAAGTGCCTGATCAACACAGCCACATAATCCCATTTTGAAAGACTAAATAACACTGTCATGCTGTAAAACAAACATTCTGCGCTCTGGCCCACACTCTCACATTAAGTCAATGATGCTTTCAGTTAGGGCTACTGGGTAGGATCAGTCTCAGAGAGTCAGGGACATGATGTGGACTAGTAGTACTACACAGTGAATCAGTCACCGACCTCACATCTGCCCACTACCGGGCAGCAGAAGGGCACAACGTTGTGGAACATTGCAGATAGAAATAGATTATGTTGAACAAACTGGCCTCTCTGGCATGTAGAATAAGGGAACTTGTCAGGTCTATTCATGATATTTCTATCTTCAACGTGTATGTTTTCCTACTGAACATGCCCCTGGTGTACTCTTTTTCACAGATCAGACCCATAAACACACAAAAATATACAAGCAACATGTATGAAAACCACTGTGCCCAGATACACTCTTCATCACACACTCACACATACAGTACACACACTTATTTGTTGACTATGTGTTGTATTTCAGAACAAATGGATCACATGACAATGATTTCTAGACAAGAGCCTATTTCCCTACATACATAGATGCAGCCTACATTACCATTTGATCACACAGAGTTGTCTAACAAATAAGGGCTCAATCACTATTTAGAAAATGGAAATTATGAAATACGAAATATTGAAAACTATTGCTAACACAAAACTATAGCATCCACAACAAACGTCTGTTTATGTCTGGGCTGCCATAGTCCTCTGTCACATCAGAATGTCTTGCAAGCTGCTTCTATAGCTCACGAAAACGGATTAAACGTTAACACAATATGATTTGGAATATCATGAAGTGGATGCATTTCGAAAGACGCTTGCTGGATATGACGTTTGAAGTCTGCATGCAAACAGTGCATTTTTCATTAAGGCGCATCTCTTACCTTTTAGGACACCGGGGTAGGCAGCAAGTATTGTCTTCATAACTGTTTCTCCGGGAATTAACAGATTACAATACTTGGAAATATTTGTTACAATAAAGTTGATAAACTCTACAGGTCCTCTATCATGACCGCATTACATTTAATAACTGAGCGCCATTTAACCGGTATGGGAGGAGCCAGTCAAAAGTCAGTACGTGAGAGAGGGTGGGAGGTGTATTGGGTCCAACCCGATGCGCTCCTGCAGAAGAACCGTAAGAGAATGCAAATTGCGCTACTCGAAAACGTTATTTTTCTCGCGACAGACTGCGGAGGTCTGGAAGCACTGTCACTGTCAACCATGTATTTAGCAGGTACTGCAGTCACGTGATGTCGGCAGCGATCAACGGTCATGTTTTGACCATTTCCATTTTATCTGACAGGCCGCACTGCTATGCAATTCTTATGGATTTCTAACTTTTAGCGCCATGAAGCTGAACATGTTAAAGTCAAACATGCGTAACAGGTCACTATGGTATAGCCCAGGCCTAGATGTTTACTAGAGCAGGGATTTGGAAGGACGACCACGTGAGACTAGTTGCTTACCTGTAAAGGTAGAATAATTACATTTACGTCATTTAGCAGACGCTCTTATCCAGAGCGACTTACAGTTAGTGAATACATTTTTATTTATTTTTTATACTGGCCCCCCGTGGGAATCGAACCCACAACCCTGGCGTTGCAAACGCCATGCTCTATCAACTGAGCTACATCCCTGCCGGCCATTCCCTCCCCTACCCTGGACAACGCTGGGCCAATTGTGCGCCGCCCATGAGTCTCCCGGTCGCGGCCGGCTGCGACAGAGCCTGGATTCGAACCAGGATCTCTAGTGGCACAGTTAGCACTGCAATGCAGTGCCTTAGACCACTGCGCCACTCAGGAGCTAATTGACATCAGCAGAGGTGTCAAACAATTGGCCTAAGGAAACAAGAGGCCTGATGGCAACTGTTTCCAATCACTTGAAAATATTTGTTAGGCAAGTTAGAATTCACACATATAGGCCTAAGCACCATACCAGCTGGAAGTACGGGTGCTGAGGGTGCTGCAGCACACCCCTGAAAAATCAGAATATAAATATATATCGATTTTTGTTTAAATCACAAGGTAGTGCACTGGGCCTTTACTAGTATTAGCGGACTGATATAGATGTCTGTAGCTTGGGGAAGAAAAACAAATTCTGCTTCTCTGCTATGGCAAAAAAGGTAGTTGTATAATTAAGAACAGTATCTTGCAGGATACAATAGTTTGAATTGTAAGAGTTGTTGCCCTGTCCCTTTCTGTGTGATTGTCATTCAAATGGGATCCAGAAAGAACAAAAGCCTGTCCTCAAACATTTACATCAAAAGGTGCAAAGTTATGGACAAAGACACAAAACATCCACATCAAATTAAATATTTGTCTTGATCAAACAACATGGAAAACAACCACTTTTTGTGCAGTATTAATTTACCATCCTTACAAACCACTTAAATTACTGTATTGTACATAGGCTGGTCATCTAGGTTTGTACCTGTAGACTTTCCATCACCATGAAGAAAAACTATGCGCAATAGAGTAATTGAGTACATTGAGACATCAAATGGTTTGTGATGCTATGATGTGGCTCAGTTGGTAGAGCATGGCGCTTGCAATGCTAGGGTTGTGGGTTCGATTCAAATCAAATCGAATCAAAATGTATTGGCCACATGCGCCGAATACAACAGGTGCAGACATTACAGTGAAATGCTTACTTACAGTCCTTAACCAACAGTGCATTTATTTTTAACAAAAAAGTAAAAATAAAACAACAACAAAAAAAGTGTTGAGAAAAAAAGAGCAGAAGTAAAATAAAATAACAGTAGGGAGGCTATATACAGGGGGGTACCGGTGCAGTCAATGTGCGGGGGCACCGGCTAGTTGAGGTAGTTGAAGTAATATGTACATGTGGTTAGAGTTAAAGTGACTATGCATAAATAATTAACAGAGTAGCAGCAGCGTAAAAGGATGGGGTGCGGGGGCAGTGCAAATAGTCCGGGTAGCCATGATTAGCTGTTCAGGAGTCTTATGGCTTGGGGGTAGAAGCTGTTGAGAAGTCTTTTGGACCTAGACTTGGCACTCCGGTACCGCTTGCCGTGCGGTAGCAGAGAGAACAGTCTATGACTAGGGTGGCTGGAGTCTTTGACAATTTTGAGGGCCTTCCCATGGGGGAAAATGTATGCACTCATTGCTGGAGAGCGTCTATGAATAGATCTTTTCAGTTTTCACATAGTTGTAAGTTGCATTTGCAAAGTATTCAAGAAACTAAAAAAACATATAACAAGCAATTATTTTTTATATTCCACAAGTATTATCAGATTAACTGTTTTGTACGGATAATTATCAGACTCAAGTTACAAATGCTGGTAAACACTTAAATACATTTAGTTAAAAACATTTCACAAAAGTAGTGCACTCGGCCGTTACTGGGGCCATGTATTAGTGGATATAGAGGTCTTCAGCCCAATAAATAATTCTGCATCCCCCCGTCGGCAAAATAATCGCAGCACCCTATCCCCCCAACTGACTTCAGATCAGTGTTTCTCAGCTTCTGAGCATCATAGGGAATTCATAACAAAGGTGTAAAGTACTTAAGTAAAAATACTTTCAAGTACTACTTAAGTAGTTTTTTGGGGTATCTGTACTTTACTTTACTATTTATATTTTTGACAACTTTTACTTCACTACATTCCTAAAGAGAATAATTTCCATGGCTTGCATACTCACCAGACATGTCACCCATTGAGCATGTTTGGGATGCTCTGGATCGACATGTACAACAGCATGTTCCAGTTCCCGCCAATATCCAGCAACTTCGCACAGCCATTGAAGAGAAGTGGGACAACATTCTACATGCCACAATCAACAGCCTGATCAACTCTATGCGAGGAAATGTCTCTCGCTGCATAAGGCAAATGGTGGTCACACCAGATACTGACTGGTTTTCTGATCCACGCCCCTACTTTTTTTTTTTAAGGTATCTGTGACCAACAGATGCATATCTGTATTCCCAGTCATGTGAAATCCATATATTAGAGTCTAATTTATTTATTTCAATTGACTGATTTCCTTATATGAACTGTAACTCAGTAAAATCTTTATAATTGTTGCATGTTGCGTTTATATTTTTGTTCAGTGTGTAGCCCTGTGATCGGCATGGTTGCATCATTCTTGTGCAGAAAGCAGCTTGGTTCTAGGACACATATCAAGAGTTATCAAGGTCAAATTGTGGGTCAAATTGCAGGTCAAATTGACCCAGAACATCATGGATGTCACTTCTTTTGTACCGGGTTGTGTTTCAATTTTTTAGTTTTACAAGTTTGAAACCCGTACCAAGGAGAGTAGATGAAGGTTCATGTTGAACATTTTTAGTCAAATAGTATTTTATTGATTTCAAACAAAGAAATTGGTAAAATTGACCCGCAACATAAGAGCCTTGGCATAGAGAATGTCCCCCTGGCGTTTCGGTTGGTCAGTGTGCATATGGGCAACTGTTGACAGTATTGTACAAGAACCTAGTCAGTGCCCTCCCCATGGCATTTCTGGCCCAGACTCAAGCAGCAATGTCCTTCAACCACTACCCTGATGCCCAGCCTGGCAAACACACAGAACACATAGAAAGAACACCTAGAACAGGAACCACTAGATAACCTTTTGACACAGCCCACAGACGTTTTCTCTACATTACCCACATGAAAAAATATTACAGTTTACAATAGAATACTACAGTACATTTGATAAAATTCTGTAGTAAACTGTAATATACTAGGCCTATAGTAAATACTACAGTATTATTCGCAAAAAAAACACTGTAGTAAATACTACAGTAATGTCTGCAAAAACACTACAGTCCGCTAAACACTACACTTATTTATTACAATATTTAATTTGCATATCCCAATTTGTGCCACCCATAAGTGAAAAACCTACATGCAAAGTATAGACCATATTTTATTCCATAGAAAATAGCAGAGGCAGTCCTACCGACCTGCAGCTTATGGAAAATGTGCTCTTTTAGTATTTCTCCAGTAGGTTTCCTCAAGGAGAATGCCTCCACTTCTATGTCAAAGATAATAAAACAAAAACACTATAGTCAATACTACAGTGATGTCCGCAAAAACACTACAGTAAATAATACAGTATATTACTGTCCGCAAAAACACTTCAGTAAATGCTACAGGAGACTATAGATTGAAAAAACACTACAGTAAATACTACAGTATACTGCAATCCGCAAAACACTAAATTCATTACTATAGTATGCACTACAGTTTTCTTTTACTACAGTATTGTCAGGATGTCAGTGTGCGTAGGACGAAGTCAAACGCAGGACACAGAGCTAATCGAAAACCTACTTTACTCGTAGGTATCGTAATGAACATAACCTCCACGCAGGGAGGAACAAACCCGCTCACCAGACGACAACCAAACATGAACAAACACACACAAAACACAGTGGGAGCCAGAGGGTTAAATAGGGAAGAAATCAATACATAATGGGAAACAGGTGTGAAACAATAAAGACAAAACAAGTAGAACATAGAAACATAGATCGGTAGCAGCTAGTACTCCGGTGACGACGAACGCCGAAGCCTGCCCGAGCAAGGAGGAGGAGCAGCCTCATCTGAATCCGTGACAGTACCCCCCCCCTTGATGCGCGGCCCCAGCCGTGCGCCGACACCGGCCTCAGGGACGGCCAGGAGGACGCGGTGCGGGGCAAGTCGGATGACTACGGTGGAAATCCCTCAACATGGAGGGATCGAGGATGTCCCTCCTAGGGACCCAGCACCGTTCCTCCGGACCGTACCCCTCCCACTCCACGAGATACTGCAGGCCCCCCACCCGACGCCTCGAATCCAGGATGGAACGGACCGAGTACGCCGTTGCCCCCTCGATGTCCAGTGGGGGCGGAGGAACCTCCTGTATCTCAGACTCCTGGAGTGGACCAGCTACCATCGGCCTGAGGAGAGACACATGGAACGAGGGGTT